ATTTTCTCTACTGGAAGTTAAAACAGCCATACAGGAGGATCCTGCTCCCATTTTACCTGCCCATGTTGCTATATTAGGTCCAGCTGGGTTTTCTTGACAGGGGACAAAGCTGAAGTACAAAAATTGTGACAAAACAATAGGCCCAACAGGTAGGTAGCACCTGTTTAGCCTTTGCAAAGGGCTGGGCTGTGTAGTTTCAGATACAGACAGAGACTGATGGGTCCAAATTGTCCTTTATAGGATACAGTCTCTTTTCCAAATGCAGCAGAACAAGCTAAGTCAGTAACTACAAAGATCTACCAGGTGAGCATGGAAGAATTTCTGGACCAAAACTGTACAGACTTGCAAAAATGAACCAAGCTCCTAGAACAACCAACCAGAATGACACATGGATGCCGTTACCACCATCGTTTGCCATCTGTCCTCCTGGGCTGGAGTATTTAACCCAAATCGATTGGTTATTAATCCACCAGAAATACGAAATTCTGGAGCTGATCACGTCTTTCGAAACCGCCAACAAGTACGAAGTGAGAAACAGGCTGGGGGAAATGGTGTATTTCGCCACGGAAGAGAACAACTTCTGTGTGAGGAATTGCCTCGGGTCCTTGCGGCCGTTTACCATGGTGATCTCCAACCACGTGGGACAGCAGGTCATCCATCTTGTGCGGCCTTTCCGTTGTGACGGCTGCTGTTGCCCCTGCTGCCTGCAAGAATTGGAAATCCAGGCCCCGCCAGGCTTACCCATTGGCTACATCAAGCAGCTCTGGGACCCCTGCCTGCCCAAATTTGTAATCCAAAATGAAGACCACACAGATGTCCTAAAAATCTTTGGACCTTGCATAACATCCGCCTGCTGTGGCAATGTGGAATTTGATGTGACCGCGCTAGACGATAAGACCAGTGTTGGAAAGATCTCTAAGCAATGGGGAGGTGTTCTCCAGGAGTTCTTCACCGATGTTGATTACCTCGGAATTTCCTTCCCTCTGGATCTTGATGTTAAAATGAAAGCAGTGATGCTTGGGGCTGGCTTCCTCCTTGATTTCATTTTCTTTGAAGAAGGGGGATTTGGTGGGGGAAGATGTAGTGTTTGGTGTTAAAAGCTAACCATCCCTGCATTATAAAACCTTTAGAGAAAGAACTTGTGTTTATCTATTCTTCCTTGGCTAAAACGGGGGCTCAGGTTTGCTTACTAAAGATCGTCTTGGGATAACAAATATTAAAGCTTATTTTTGATAATATTTGGTCCGTAAACCTTTCCTGCCCTTGTAGGAGAAGAACTACTTCAGGACACTGTCTGTATTTTGGGCAGACTTTCAAACCCAAATAAAAGAAGATATATGTCATACTGTAGTAGCATGGCACAAAAATTTACTCCTTACAGATGTCCATGCGGTGCAACACAAATATGAAAGGACAACGTATTCACTGTGGTGTCATAATGCAATTGTGCTTCTTTGTCATCATGATGGCCAGGTGTGAATGCAACTGTTTTTAGGATTTCTGTCATGACGGTGTAAAACGGGATATTTCTGTTTTGAATAAGGATTGACTAAAAAGTACTTCCTCCTCCCTTCCAATTCCATTCTAGTTTAAATTCAGGTGTTTTAGCCGTTGAAAAGAAAAATAATCCTTGAGGGAGCATCGCTTTGTAATCTGTTATTTCATTCTCTACCTGATCACTATCTTTCACTACACATTTCTGTTGACAGTGGATATGCTACTTAAAGTCATTGTCACACTTTCACCACACGCTTCATTAGGAAAATTAAATAGCCACAGTGATGGCAGACAAACAATGACTTTTTCTCTTCAACTGCCCTGCCCTGCAAAATGACTGAAGTAAGAATATATACTGAGTTTCTTGACTGATAACTCCACCAACAAGCCAGAAAGATATCAGTAGGACAACCGGTTTGTGTAGAGGTTAAGGTGCTGGCCTGGAAACCAGGAGATGATGAATTCTAGGCCTGTTTTAAGCAGGAAAGCTGGCTGGGTGACTCTGGGCCAGTCACAAGGTGAGATGTGAGTTCTAGTCCTGCTTTAGACACGAAAGCTGATCTGGTGATTTTGAGTGAGGAGACAGTGATTTCTAGACATGAAAGCTGCTTGGGGGAGTGGGCCAGTCAATCTCTCCACACCAATGGTGGGATTCAAATTTTTTTTTACTACCAGTTCTGTGGGTGTGGCTTGGTGGGCAGGGGAAGGATACTGCAAAATCCCCATTCCCTCCCCACCTCACTAACCTGCTTTCCAGCTCTGTTCTCCTGTCCTGTGTAGGGCAACTAAAGAAGACCCAGCCAATCAGCTGGGACTCAATGGGAGGCAGAGACTAGATGGGGGCGGGTCCAGTCAAAGGTGGTATTTGCCACTTCTCAAAACTACTCAAAATTTCTCCAAACTATTCAAAATTGCTGCTACTGGTTCTCCACAACTGGTCAGAACCGGTTGAATACCACCTCTGCGTCCACACAGATTATTTAGATCAATTATTATGTACAAAGGAACAACTCTTTAAAAGAATCTCACGTAGAAGGGGAGGAATTTTTGCTGTGTTCCTTTTGGATATTCTAGACAGACTATTAAGTAGGACTTGATGGGCTACCAAAAAGATTTCTGAGGTCCACCGACAGACCATCACCACAAAGTGAGGCACACTTTGTACCCAAATAGGACGCTTTGAGACTTCAAAGCAGCTGAAACAGCTCTCTCAATATCTGACCTGCTCCAGGAGGGTTGCCTGCTGTTGCTCGCCCTCGCATCTGCTCGCCTGAAGCATTGGTAATTTTCTCTATTGGAAGTCAAGACAGCCATATGGGAGGATTCTACTTTCCTTTTATCTGTCTGGGTTGCTCTTTTAGGTCCATCTGGCTTTTCAGGAAAGTTCAGTGGGCAAAGCTGAGATACAAAAATTGTGACACAATAATAGGCCCAACAGGTAAGTAGCACCCCTGTTTAGCCTTTACAAAGGGTTGGGCTGTGTGGTTTCAGATGTAGACAGAGTCTGATGGGACCCCATTGTCATTTACAGGATACAGTCGCTTCTCCAATGCAGAAAAAGCTAATCCCATGACTACAAAGATCTACCAGGTGAGCATGGAAGAATTTCTGGACCAAAACTGTATGGAACTGCAAAAATGAACCAAGCTCCTACAAAAACATCCCTAATGGAGCTCTGTTGAACCATGCTAAGCAAAGGAAATGGCGCCATCTCCCAACACAGTCCGTTCCCTGACTGAGCACCACAGATTAGAACAGAACAGAACAGAACAGAACAGAACAGAACAGGTATAGAATTCTTTATTGGTCAAGTGTGATTGGACACACAAGGTGCATATGCTCTCAGTGTACATAAAGAAAAAAATAAAATAGATTTATCAAGAATCATAAGATACAACACTTAGTGATAGTCATATGTTGCTAATAAGCAATCAAATCATACTAGTGTTGAAAGGCTGGAAAATGCCTTTCCTTTGAGGATTCAGTTTTCCTGCTGGGAGTGCTCCAATACACAGACAGAGATAGCAACTACTTGGAAACAGGTTTCTTTAATTTTCAGGAAGGCAAGAGATAGCAAGAAGTCTGCGTTCCTGGGGCTAGCCAGCTTTGTGTAATAAACTCCTGATTTTTATACCTTTTCTCCTTTTGTGTGTGAGTGCTTAATGTTTTAAATCCTATCAGGGGGTTGTCTTCATTTCCGCCAGAGGGTAAACTCTGCGGGGTGGTTTGATTGGATTATCAGTTTCATCCTAATGTTTTTCTTATATTTGTTTGGTGGCAATCTCCTGTCTGCTATGGAATTTATTTCTGTGTCTTTTGTCTATTTGTTTTGCTGATTTGGCATGACCTTTTGTTTGTAAGGGATTTCTTTTTCTTGTTTCCCTAGTTTTCTTAATTACTTTGGCTTTTGTCTAGGGGGCTTCTTTCAATACCTTTTATCAAATCTCTTTTCCTATGCAAGTTTGCTTTTATGGCTAGCCTGATGTTCCCCTCGCATTTTTCCTGCTTGGGTGTCACCCCTGTCCTGGTGAAGTTCCCTTTCCACACTAGGAAAGAAAGAAAATATAAATTTAAAGATACAAGCAACACGGTTATAGTTGTAAGTGGGAAGAGACAGATAATAGGAAGGATGAGAAGAATAATAGTAACACAGCCTTACTAAATAGTTTGACAGTGTTGTGTGGGAAATTTGTGGACCAACTGCGTGTAGACTTAGAATAACTTTATTATCACTTTGAATGTACACTAATTGGCGTAGATTAAAATGAAAATTTCTTGCATTCACCTCTCAAAGGATGACCATTATGCATATACCCACCTACCCACACATATATGTCACAGAGAAACATCAGTCTAGTTCAGATGTATACATATACATGGCCTCAACAAAACTAAAATCTGTTTACCAGATGGACGGCCAAGAGAACAAAGCTGTTACGCAATCTAGTAGTCCTGCTAGAAATACTTCAAAACCTCTTCCCAGCGGAGAGCAACAGAAACAGAAACATAGGAGCAAAATTCAGATGCTTAGCAAGTGGTTTGTAGTTATGTCCGTGTGGGTGCCTTGCATGACACGCAATCCCCTTTTTGCGGAAGCCAGATTCACTTAATGACCGGGTGACTAACTTATCAACTGCAGTGCTTCACTTCTCAACCTAGGCAAGAAAGATGGCAAAATGGGGCAAAACTCACAAAACTTAACAACAGATTTTTTGCGGGGGGTGAAATTTGTTGCGGTCGTAAGTCGAGAACGTCATGCAACAGCAGGAACATTCTACTTGGATCCGCTCCATTGTCTCCCTCCTCTTCCCTCCCCCCCACGGCCCTTGGAAGCGCGCATGCGTCCACGCTGCTCGCCGGCTTTTCTTTCCTTGCAGCAGGCGGATGTTGTTTCCCCACCCCGTCCCTCCTGCATCACGTGACGGGAGGGAACGGCATGGCGGCGCCAAGTTCTGCCTCGCTCGTGCGTCGCAGCCTGGTGACGTCAGGTCCGGGCGCTTGGGAGCGAGAGGCGGGGCCGCGGGGGTCGACGGCGATGGGGCTCGCTGAGGAGGAAGAAGCGGGCGGACGGCGGCGGCTTCGCGGCTGCTGACCCTCCGCGGGGAGCGAGCGAGCGAGCGGGGGCGGGGAGGCCTGCGGTCCCGACAGGGCTGGGAGCAGCGGCGGGTAAGGGCGGGCCGTGGCGGTGACAGGCCTGTTTGCCGAGTGGGTCCCGGGCAAGGCCCGGCTGTGGGGGGAGGGGACGGGACGGGGGAAGAGACCCTCAGCGGCCTACTCCGCCGACCATCTGCCTAGGCGGGCCTGGAAAAGGCCCGAATCGAGGATACCCACCTTGTCCCGTCTCGAAAATCCCCCCACCCCCGAGGCGGGCCCTGGAAGGCCTCGAGGTCGGAAGTGGGGCCCAGAAGAGCTGAGGGCGCCGGGGGGGGGGGAGGACAGGACCCCCCCCCCTTAAAAAAAAACGAATGATAGTGATTTCTTCAGGGAGGGGCAAACATGTGAGGGACCTCGATCTCCGCTGAGGTGGCCCATTGAAGGGTCTAAAAACGGACCTCAGGGCCTGAATGGGGACGAGCTCAGTAGGGTGGGGGCTTGGGATGGGAGACCATGGAGAGATCCCAGGGAGATAGATGGAGAGTTCTGGCTGTCCCCAGGGGTCAAGAAAGCTGCTGGAATGATTCCTTCTGTTCCCCCAAAATCGAGGTCTAAGGATAGTTTTTTTTGGGGGGGGGGGCGAGATACCGGTGTCCCTTAGATGGGAGGGTGGATTTTGTGGGAGTTTTTTTTCTTCTTCTAAATAAAACCTAAGGGTTTAAAATAGGAGGAAAAATATTCCTGGAAGAAATCGTCAACCTCCTTCCCTTTTCACAGTGTACAAACTGTAGTTTAATATGAAAGTGACTTCCAATTTTAAAATCCTGTCTGATCAGCGAGCTTCCCCTTCCTTAGACCCCTCTCCTGTTGAATTTTAACAGTATGGAGTAGACCAGTCTACAGGCAGTCCTCGAGGTATGACCACAATTGAGCCCCGAGTTTCTGCTGCTAAGCGAGGCAAGGGTTGTGTGTTTTGCCCCATTTTGCAACTTTTCTCGCCATAGCTGTTGAGTGAATCACCGCAGACACATGTTGTTAGGTGAATCTGGCTTCCCCCTTGACTTTGCTTACCCAAAAAGTTGATCGCGTGACTTCAGGGCACTGCAACCGTCATAAATATGAGTCAATTGCCGAACCTCTGCATTGTGATCATGTAAGTCAAGGACAACCTGTAGTCAGCCCATAGGGAAATCTCTTTGTCCTGGAGCATGTTGATGCTCTGTTAAATTACAGCAGCATGATACATGCTTCAATTTGATTATTGGCTTGATAAGAAAGTTATATTTGATATAGGCATAATGACCTGTAGGCTGGGGTTCTGTTTGGAAATTCATAATTGAAATGAACACAACAGAATTACTCCATAGATGAAAATCAACACAGGAGAATGAATCAATAGCCTAATTTTTACATTGGCCGCAATCTGAGATTTCTCTGTACTGTATGTGTTATGTCTGAGATAAATCTTGTTTGAATTCATAAGTCTTTTCAGAAATAGGCAGTCTTCCTCCTCCCAATATCTCGGCTAATGTTGTTTTCTTTAATCAACAGATAAATATACAAATATGGCACTATGGCTGTACATGAATAATCATAAAGTTAACAAGAAGTAATAGTTGAGCATCTTTACATGTTTTGGATACCTATATTTCATCATAATACAATTTTTGCTTTAATGTTAACATGCCGTGAAAATGCGGTTAATGGATTTGTGATATTTAGTGTATGTATGGACACATTTGAAAGTTTTCTTTAATTCCAGGATTTTATTTTTCTCTTTCTTTGTGTAGCAAACAAGAAGGATAAATTGAAGATTATCAAGATGAGCAGAAAGCCTCCACATCGTCCCGGGATCACATTTGAAATTGGTGCTCGCTTGGAAGCCCTGGATTATCTACAAAAATGGTATGGAAACTATTGTAGCTGATCCTCAATTTATGACCACAGTTGAGCTCAAAATTTATGTTGCTAAGTTAGAGACATCTGTTAAGTGATTTTTGCCCCATTTTATGTCTTTTCTTGCCACAGTTATTAAGTGAATCACTGCAGGTGTTAAGTTTGTCACACAGTTGTTAACTGAATCTGTTGTCCCCATTGACTTTGTTTGTGAGAAGTTTGCAGAAGGTGATCAGTTGACCCCAGAACACTGCAACTGACATAAATACATGCCAGTTGCCAAGCCTCTGAATTTTGATCATGTGACCATAGGGAGGCTGCAACGGTTATAAGTGTGGAATACTATCATAAGTCACTTTTTTCAGTGCTGTTGTAACTTTGAACAGTTACTAAATGAACTGTTGTAAATCGAGGACATCTTCATACGATGCCTGATAGTTCCACCCTAATACATACTTTTATTGAAAAAATGTCTTAAACAACTTAAAATGCTTAGCAGTTAAAAGACCTTGTTCAAGAAATAACTTTTTAAAATTAAGAAATATTACTTTGATGCACAAAAAAGAGAGAAAAGAAAATAAAAATAAAAAGAGCAAAGAGTAGAAAAATACAAGAAACAGTAATATATTCCAAGTAAAGAATGTAGTGATAAAGGTTTGAGGCTAGAAGCCAGGCAACAGTGATTTCTAGTCCTGTCTTAAGTCTGAAAGCCATCAGGGTAACTTTGGGCCATTGACTCAGTCAAATTCATCTCTCAATTTTTGTTGTGGGAAATTAGGAAGAGGAAGGTATATTAAATATGTTTACAACCTTGAGTTATTTATAAAAATAATAAAGGTGGGATAAAAATAAAGAATGTAATTAAGCTGAAACACATGAAACCTTGACTGTGTAATAATGCAGCCTTTACTTCAAGAGATGAGTCAGTTCATAAACAGAATATGAGCTTACAAGATTATAAATCTTTCTAACATTGAAAAATGCCATTACGTCTTTAAATAATATCAGTGTTTGTAATACTATCTGAACAAATTTACAAAATTTAAATTAAAATATAGCAATAGACAGAGTAGCCTATATCAATGAGTAATTTATTCCCTTCCCCGTTGTATGCTTCAAAGAGAGTGAGCTGATATCTTCACTTTTTAAGTATTCTCTAGGGCACCCAGTTAATATTAAAATGTTGAATATGTCATCTTACAATCATAAGACACTTAATTTTTTTTAGGATTCTTAATCTTTAGTTTGTTAATACATGATAATCCAATTCTTTGCTCTAGGGTTCTCGCAAATAACTGTCATGGCTTCTGTCAGTCTTTTTGAAACAACATTTAACCAGGTAACTTGTGGATGGCTTTCAGGGTCATCAAACTCTATATCATTGAAAATCAGCTGCCTAAACCTCACTGAAAGGGATTTGAAACATTTTATTTAAAAAGGCGTTGTAGTAGATCTCCAGCAGTACAGGTAAAATCCTCAATTTACAAATGGTCGAAGTTACAGCAGACCACATAAAAAAATTATAAGCTGGATTCAGCGTTCCAATGGCCAAGCCTCTTCCGATCACTTGATAGTATTTTGGTTGCAGTCGTCTCTTGATTTAAACCTTTTATTTTTGCTGGAAGCTGGCATTTATTTCTTGTTTCCGGCAAAAAAACAAAAACCCCACCCTTTGGGGACAATGGATTCCCTTAATGATTGCTGTGTTTGCTTTGCAACCACCCGCTTAATGACTGGCATGACTTATCCTAATTCCAAGCTCAATTACAGTCATAAATTGAGGACTGCCTGTATTGAAGTGAAGAATTCAGAGTACATCATAAACCACTTTCAACATAACCAATTAAGTCTGGAAGCTTTTCCTGTTTCTGTATGTAGACATCGGCAGACAGGCAGACACACACAAACATACATTTTGTAGCTGTAGATGATTTTGTATTACATAATCAAATTTCAAAACATTGGTAACTTAAATGAGTCAGAACCATACACGTTACGGTGGATAGCCTTAACAAAATACACAATATTCTCTGAATGGATTTCCTGCCGAATATAGGACCAGCCCCAATGCTTTTTGCTTTTCAAAAAATAGTTTAAAAACTGTCTTTTTGCTCTAGGTGCTTGGGTAGTGTCAGAGGTTGGGGAAAGGCCTCTTGAGACTATTTTAATTATCCCCTGTTTTGTTTCTATTTTAAGGACTGAGTATTACTTTAATGAAGTATGGCATGTGTTCTTAATATTTATTTGTGTTGTACACTGCCTAGGGTCACATTCCTTGTGTTGGGCTTATAAAGGCTTGAAATAAATAGTTGCAAGTGTTTCACTTGAAAGACTCATAATATACAGCACCAGGTGTTTCATCTTGCTCCCATTATCTGTGTTTTGTATGATTCAGTTGATTGTTTTGCTTCAGATGCACAGTGGGAATAAATTCCTTTTTAAAAAGTTCTTATACTGTAATAGCTTTATATAATTTTGATGCAGATGGTCTTGTGTTTGTGCTTAAAAGCTGTAATTTTTTTCCTCAGTTTTTCTTCCTTTTTTAAAAAAAATCATGAACTTTGCATACTAAGACAGTCACCTATGATTCCTAGACATCCACTAATTCACAGAATATCTCTTTATAAGAAAAAAAAGTCATCTGTTTTGTAAACAATGGATCCTTTCATAATGCCACTTTTAAGTGCAATTTAGAGAAAATGGGTGATTCTTGTAATACCTTTATTCAGGCATGATCAAAGAGAGACCAGTGAGTAGGCAGCATGCAAATAGCTATCATAAATACACACATTAACATTAAATGGTACCAATTTCACACTAATTGGTTCAATTAAGGATCGTAATATGAGAATGTAAATTGGTTGACATCAAATCAACCAATTGCTTTTGGATCAAGAAAAATATGGTCTCTTGTAAAGTATATAAAAGTCACCAATGGACACCCAAATTAAGATTCTTCTGTGGAAATACACAATTTTCTTTTCTTTTAATTTTTAAAAAAAGATTCAGAATTTAAATTGATTAACTTGGTAAGTATATCTTTCCACTTGAAATAATGCTTTTATATTTCCCATCAGTAGAAGTGAGCAAGAAACTTTTTTTCTGCTCACTAATTAATAGAAAAAAAAAGATAATATTGTTTAGCTTGGGAGTTATCCGAAGTTGTAATTCAGGATATTGCTGTAACAAAATGGAAGTCACCAGCTCTTAACACCTAATCAGCTATAGATGTACCTGTCTGATTACCTTTGAGCAAATTCAGGTTTTAGTGCAATGCATATGCTCCACCCCCATGGATATTCCATTAATACAGGAAATACCTGTTTTACCCATTGTGGAGAAAATAAATTTTAAATATGGGACAGGATATTTGATAGGCTTGCTAGCATTGAATTCCTCGCTAGGTATTTTCATGGCAAATTGTTACCCTGCCAAGGAACTCTTGTTGCAGATTTGTGGCTTGCAGGAGTACCCTGGAATTAAAAAATAAAAGTATTCCTTGCAATTTTTCCTTGCAAAATTTCTCCCATTAGGGATTTATCAGGTAACGTAGAAACATCAGGCCTCTGTGTTTATTTATGGGGTTGTTACATTTTGGAAACAAAAGTATGTAAAGCTGCTTCATCCTTCCAGAGGCTTTTTTAAAAAGATGCCGACTAAACTGTTAGAGATTGTAAACTTTTGTCAGTTCTCATACCAGCCACACATGAGACATCTATTAACCATGGAGTACAGGCTGTCCTTGACTTAACAACCACAATTAGAATTAAATTTTTCATTGCTATGCAAGGCAGTTGTTAAGTAATCCAATTTTAAGAACTTTTTAACCACAATTTTGCCAATTCACTTGTTACGTGAATCACATGTTCATCATGTTTGCTGTCTCAATAGTCTGAGTCCTAATTTTACCAACTTTGGAAGGATGGATTGGAAGGCTGAATTAATCATAGAATAGAATATAGAATAGAAAAAAGAATAGAATAACAGAGTTGGAAGGGACCTTGGAGGTCTTCCAGTCCAACCCCCTATACCACTTCAGACAAATGGTCAACCAACATCTTTTAAAAAACTTCCAGTGTTGGAGCATTTACAACTTCTGGAGGCAAGTTGTTCCACTGATTAATTGTTCTAACTGCCAGGAAATTTCTCCTTAGTTGAGGGTTGCTTCTCTCCTTGATTAGTTTCCACCTATTGCTTCTTGTCCTGTGCTCAGGAGCTTTGGAGAATAGCTTGGCTTCCTCTTCTTTGTGGCAGCCCCTGAGATATTGGAACACTGCTGTCATGTCACCCTAGTCCTTCTTTTCATAAGGTTAGACATATCCAGTTCCAGCAACCATTCTTTATATGTTTTAGCCTCTGGTCCCCTAATCATCTTTGTTACTCTTCTCTGCACTCTTTCTAGAGTCTCAACATCTTTCTTTACATTGTGGCGACCTAAATTGGATGCAATATTCCAAGTATGGCCTTAACAATGCATTATAAAGTGGTATTAACACTTCATGTGATCTTGATCCTCCATTTATGCAGCCTAGAACTGTGTTGGCTTTTTTGGCAGCTGCAGCACAGTGCTAGCTCATATTTAAGTGATTGTCCACTAGGACTCCAAGATCTCTCTCACAGTTACTACTGTTCAGCCAGATATCCCTTATACAACACCTGTGCATTTTGTTTTTCTTGCCTAAATGTAGAACCTTCCTTTATTCACCATTGAATTTCATTTTGTTAGGTAACCTTGAGCCAGTCAAGATCGAACTCCTGGCAGTTGGCAGAATTAGCTAGCAATACTACATTCTGACCAATCCACCACCATGGTTCTAAGGGCAAAGGCCAGTTGTAAGTCACTTTTTTCAGTGCCATTGTAACTGCACAGTTGCTAAACGAATGGAATACACTAAAGGAATACCTCTATGATCAATACTACGGTACAAAGAAGAACTATGAGTCAGGCTCATCAAACTGATTTAAGAGTTCTGCCAATCCTTTTCCTCTTCTTTGGAAAGGTACTTCTCTGAAGGGTGTTTTACTCCAGTTTAAACACGTTTTCTAGGACTGGAGTATGGATAACACAGGAATGAGGAAGAATTGTTGATCATCTTTACTTTAAAGTTAAAATGTGCAGCTGTAGAAAGGCTGGGTGGGGGAAAGCTACGAAGGGGTTATTTTGCTGAATAGCTCGGTTTGTTTAGACAACCTGTGGAATGTGAACAATTTGGGTAGCACTAGCTCATTTTGTTAAAACTTACCTTGAATATGTTAAAATAACTGATAAGTACATTTTTAAAAAGTATCTTCAATAGCTCCAGATAAAGCATCTTATAGAATTAATATCCTTTCTCTATTGCTGTACCGATTTCACTGTTCCTCTTTAATGTTTTAGTCTTAAACAGGCAACCGTGCTTAGATTGGATTCCGGCCTAATGCTTTCTTTGGCATGTTGATGGCTCCAAATAGAGGTGGCTTTTATGGTCTTTGCCTTCCACAGTTTAGAAGTAAAATTTCATTTTAGAAAAATTAAAAGCACTGTAATTGTGAAGCGGATGGAATACCTAGGCCGGAGAGTAGCTGCCACTGAAATTTTTCTGATACTTTTATTATCTTCAAGTTGTAAGATTAATCATAAAAATTCTTTTTGAGAGTAGAATGAAAGTTCATTGCAATGGATGATCTGAAAAGGCGACTTAAAGCTGTCTAATAAGAGCCGGTTTATAAATCCTCATGCTCTGATTTTCTTCCTTGATAAAAATACCTCTGGTCCAGCAACGCAAGGCTACTTTCTTATTTTTTGCACAGCTGTGTAACATGTATCCATCCCTTTCACGCTAACATATCTTACTACCTCAAAAGTAATTTGCAGAAATGTTACAATGAACAAAAAAGATGGGAAACAAACCATTAAGCCAAACTTAATCCTGTTTCATCTTCTCAGAGTCCAGGTGTATATGTGGGAGAGAGAGAGAGGGAGGCTGTGCCTTTAAGTTAGCCTTAGTAGTAGTTTTCAGAAGTGGTTTTCCATTTCCTTCTCTTGAGTGCTAAAAGAGAGTGAAGGACTCAAGGTCACCCAACTGGATTGGTGCCTAAGGCGGGATCAGACTTTACAGTCTCCTAATTTTTAGCTTGGTGCCTTAATCACACGAATGAACTAGTTTTCTCCAGCATTCTGATTCTAGATAAGACAGACAGTATAGTAGTGCCCCTGAATGTATAGCTAAAAGCTATGTTAAATTGACTTTCAGATTTAATAAATAGAATCTCTGCCCGTATCTTGCTCTTCAAAAAATAAAACAGGAGAACGTTGGGTTGGCTCTGCTATGATGATAATCCTAATAAGAAATTGGACTCATTGACAAGCCATGTACTGATAGGGAAGATAAAATGCAGTGCTTATGGAAAAATGTGGATGAGAACATTTATTTTATTTTTTTGGAAAGAAAACAGCAAATCTCCATATTGAATCAGCTAACAAGTAAAATCAGAAAGTATTTTTGAAATATGTATATATACATGACTCAAATCAAGCAAACTGGAGCAGAGAATAATAAGTAATTGTAAGGTGGTATGATAGAGCATTGGATGCTGAAGTGGTTTGCACGTGTTTAACATCAAATATTAAATATATTGGTTGTTGAAATGAGAGTACTATACTATATTACACTAACTACACTTCACTATTCAAGTCTCTTTGACATTAAGTTGGGCTTCTAAATAACTGTTCATGTGACTGTTTATCATTGGTAAGATTAACAATATAAAATATTTACACTGGGCACTTTCCCCCCTTAATTTATTAACTTAAGCATACAGCAGTTTAGGAAAATGACTATGGTACCTTTGTTATGAATTAATACCTGTGGATCAATCCTAGCACAAAACCCACAACTTTTCCCCCTTGCATGGTTATCAGTGACTTCTACAGAGGATTCATAAAAACACCTCATGTTAGGTGCTGTGTCAATAAGATTTAGAGGTTGAGTATTTTTACCTTTGGTGTCCACGATACTAGCCAAGGAACAGTTGTTCGGTTTTGAAAACAGTTAATAGCAGGGGTGTTTGAAATACGAATGAAAATTGGCAATCCGTATCTTCTCAGTTGATAGAAGAAACTGCTGGGTGGGAGAGTCTTAATTTGAAGCAGCAACTAATAACCGGTCTTACATACTGATGCATTTCCCAACTTTCTGTTTTCTGGTTGGATTTGGATTGACTTGAATTCCCCAGCCAGCAAAGCTATTATAGGAGTTTTCATCCTTAAAGACAAGCTGTTGGGAATAGCTAATATTCTGTGTTTTGTTTGTTATTACGCTATGATCTTGTGTGTGTGAGAGAGAGAGATCCCAACTTTGTGCTTTGTTTTTGCTTCCAGTTAGTTTATTTAAACTGCAGATATTTTTAACTGCTCATGGATTTTGGATATATTACAAAGTGTTTTGAGGGAAGTCTTATGGAAATGTCACAAATCAATAAAGGGTAAGAATTACATATAATGAATATGCACAAATATAATACAGGTAGTCCTCAACTTAGATTTTGCTTAGAAACTATTCAAAGTTACAACGGCACTGGAAAAATATGACTTACAACTTGCTTTTGCACTTCCACCATTGCAATATCCCTGAGATCATATGATCAAATTTAGGCGCCTGGCAACTGGCATGTGTTTATAACAGTTGCAGCATCACAGAGTCATATAATTGCCATTTGCAACCAGGGTGGATTTGATCTAAATCAACTCGATTTAAATCACTAGTAAAAAGGCCCGATTTAAATCAACTTGATTTAAATCGTAACTTTTAAAGAGCCACTGTCATCTTTGTCCCACAGCGTCTCTGACCCACTGTTGACTCACTGAAAGCCCCATTCACTTTAATGGGACAGCTGATGATGCGGCAATGACGCAACAAGATGAGGGATATGGCGGGCAGCAGGTGAGTGGATGCCCGCTAACAGGCACTGCCATGATGGGTCTGAAATGACAGGTGCCCTTTAAATGCAAGGACTCGTTCTTGCTGGCAGCTAGTCTCTTTAATTTTATTATTTGCAAACAAAATGAAGGTTTCCTATTTAGCTGGCAGAGCTTGGATTCATTGAATGAGTTTACCAAAAGTATAAATATTGCAGAATATACAGCCTTATGCTACATAACTAAACTCCATTTCATGCTGAATAAACTAAAATATTAATGTATCTTAAATAAACAACTATCTTTAGATAGATTTTTACTCCAAAAGCATTTTTTAAATAAATTTGATAAAAAAAAAATTAAAATCAAATTTAAATTTTAAAAAATAAAAAAATTGCTTTTTTAAAAAATCCATTTTTATCTACCCCGTTGGCAACTTTTCCAACTGCATATCGACAAACCAAGTCAACAGGGAAGCTGGATTCACTTAATAACCATGGGGAAAAAAAGGTCATGAAAAAGGGCACGACTTCACAGCTGCTTTGCTTAGCGACAGAAATTATGATACCCAATTGTGATCGTAAGTTGAGGACTACCTGTATGATCCCATCATACAACGGTGCGGGAATTCAGCCTATTTCTGAGGTACTGGAAGCCATCCCTTTCTCCTAGCCTTTTAATTTACAATACTTCAGGATTAGTAATTCACAAAAACGCTCTGGGTGATTGGAGAACCATTTGTCTGAAATGGTATAGGATTTCCTGCTTCAGCAGGGCGGGTTGGACTAGAAGACCTCCAGGGTCCCTTCCAACTCTGTTATTCTATTGTAGAGAGGAAGCCGCTGAACTATCATTTTTCTGTTTGTCTTCTAAAGGTATCCTTCACGCATTGAGAAGATAGACTATGAGGAAGGAAAGATGCTTGTCCATTTTGAACGCTGGAGTCATCGTTACGATGAATGGATTTACTGGGATAGCAATCGATTGCGCCCGCTCGAGCGGCCTTCGCTGAGGAAAGAGGGCCTAAAAGATGACGAATTTATCGTAAGCATTTCTCCAGTCCTTACGAATAATGGCTTTAAGTGGAAGTCACAGGCCATGATCGCAAGCACAAACGGTAGCCGAGAGCATAGAAAAACGAAACCTTTTAATCCCATCTACAAATTGGGATCGGAATCTCCGTCGCTAAGTAGGGAGGTTGTTAAGTCAGGTGCACCATGCCTCGAAAATCTTTTTTTGTCACAGTTGTTAAGCAAAATCACTGCAGTTAATCACATAGTGTGGCTTAATGCAGGGCTCTCCAACCTTGGCAACTTTAAGGCTGGTGGACTTTTAACTTCCAGAATTCCCCAGCCAGCTGGCTGGGAAATTCTGGGAGTTAAAAGTCCACCAGCCTTAAAGTTGCCAAGGTTGAAGACCTCTGGCTGAATGAATCCAGCTTCCCTCGTTGACTGGTGATCACATGACCCTGGGGATGCTGCAACCGTTGTAAATGCATGCCAGTTGCCAAGCACCTGAATTTTGACCACGTGACCACAGGGATGCTTTGATGGTTGTAAGTGCAAGGACCAGTTGTAAGTCACTTTTTTTTCCCCATGCCACTGTAACTTCAAACAATTGCTCAACAAATGGTTGTAAGTTTGGGACTACCAGTAATGTTTGAATAGTGGAAATTTTTCTTTTTCAAAACTAGGCTTGAAGTTACATTCCCTCACTTTGTTCTTTTAAAACAGGATTTTAAACCAGGAGAAGAGGTTCTGGCTCGTTGGACAGATTGCCGATATTACCCTGCAAAAATTGAAGCAATTAACAAAGAAGGTTTGTATCAAGTAACGGATGCAGATTAAGGGATCTTGTAGGTCATCTAGTCCAACGCCCTGCGCAAGCAGGAAACCATACACCATTTCTGACAGATGGCAGTCCATTCTCCAGATGAGCTGTTCAGAGCATCCAGGCATGGGAGGTGCTTCTGTCTCTCATCCGATAGGCTGGGTTGATTTCTATGGACGTTCCTCCTTGAGGCTCCTCCTTAATTTTTTGTTCAGCCTTTGTTCAAGAAAGACATAATTTTCCCTTGCTTGGGTGGTGAAAAACGACAGGGAAAATTCAAATATATCATTGCAGGCCAGATAGCTTTTAGCTGCCTACAGTCATCACCCCCGCCCAAGCAGGAGACAGTACACCATTTCTGACAGATGGCAGTCCAGTTTCTTCTTGAAAGTTTCCAGTGATGAAGCTCCCACAACTTCTGAAGGCAAGCTGTTCCATGGGTTGATTGTTCTCACTGTCAGAAAATTTCTCCTTATTTCCAGGTTGAATCTCTCCTTGATCAGCTTCCATCCATTATTACTTCTCTGGCCTTCAGGTGCTTTAGAAAATAGATTGACCCCCTCCTCTCTGTGGCAGCCCCTCAAATATTGGAACGTTGCTATCATGTCTCCCCCGGTCCTTCTCTTCACTAGACTAGCCGTGCCGAGTACTTGCAACTGTTCATCATAAGTTTTAGCCTCCGGTCCCCTAATCATCTTGGTTGCTCTTCTCTGCACTCTTTCTAGAGTCCCAACATGTTTTTATAGTCAGGGAGATGAGCCCTCTCCTGCTGGAACGTCAGGAATCCATTCAGTCTAGTGGCTTTTTGTAACAGCAGTTAAGGTCGACTCCTCAGAAAAGCAGATGAGCTGGATACAAAGACAGCAGCTTTTCTCTACACTTTTTTAGCAGGATATAATAATGACGTTTCACTTAACTTGTTATGGCTTAATAATAGATAGACCTATTCAAGATGTTTTTTTTGGCAACTGTCATATTCACTCAACATTTCAAGGTTTCTCATTGCACAAATGGAGCAGCGTTAAGCTGGCTTAGTGATTAAGGTGCTGGACTAAGGAGAGAGTGTCCCAAATACTAGTCCATCTCCATTTGTGGATGACTTTGGGCAGGTCATTTTTCCCAGTCCAGGACTGCTGTTGTAGGAATAAATTGGAGAAGAGACCGCTACAAAAGCTGGAATATAAATCTAATAAATAAAATGTCAGTATCAGGAGCTCATTTTGCACAAAATTACAAAAGTACAAAATTAAGTACAGAAAACAAAATCTGGTACTTACGGGGTGACATGATCGCTTTCTTCCAATACTTGAAGGGCTGTCACAGGAAAAAGAGAGTCAATTTGTTTTCGAGAGCACCTGATGGCGGGAGAAGCAGCAATGGGTGGAAGCTCATCAGAGCCTGATTCAACTTAGAAATAAGGAGGAATTTCTCATCAGCAAGAATGATTTATTGGGGGGACCAGCTGGCCTCCTGGAATTGTGGGTGCTCCATTGCTTGGGGTTTTTGAAGAAAAGATTGGACATCCAATTTTCTGGGATAATAATAAGGACCCTGCCTTGGGAAGGAGGAGGAGACCTCCAAGATCCTTTCCATCCCTATGATTTGGCATACAGTTGAAGTCCTCCTATTTTGGAAGTCAAAGGTCAGATATTCATGCTTGTATTCCAGTGTGTCAGAGAGTGGAAAACATTTCTAGCTAATACTTTTAGGAAACCAACTGTGCTTCCCAAACAGTTGTAGCGGTGAAATATGTACTGTATAAGAGCCAAATCCAGTTGTTAAATCAATTTGAAGTGTGCCCTTGAAATGTTTTCGTATGAATTAAACTGCAAGTAATTTGTGGAACTCCAATGTGCAGTTCATTTTAAAAAGGTTTTAAAGCTATATCCTAGAAATATTTAAAGTCAAATGCTGAATTTAACTCTCAAAAATATACGCAAGGCTCTGCTTTCAAAGCCTAAGGGACAGCATAATTTAGTCAGGATGAGACTTTGAAGCCAGAAGTCATCCATTCGAACTTTATATATATAAACTCAGTTAGTCAAACAACAGTCTACTTAGGTTAACCTCTTTGCAGATGGAACACAATAAAATATGTATTAAACAGCTTAATTTTTTTTAAAAAAAGGCAATATTGCCATCATTTTATTTCTGTGTTCTGATTTGTATTAGGTTATCCTTAAAATGCCTTGAAGTTGCCATTTGTGCAAAACCATTCTATAGCTTAAGATCTGAATGGGTTGCCGGCTGCTTTCCAGGCGCCATTTAAGGCATTGTTATTAATTTGCAAAACCTTAAATGGTTTATGATCTGAGCCTCTCCCAGCATGAGTGTCTCCATCTGATCAGTTTTTTATGAAAAGCCCAATATACTCCCAAATAAGAATTTTGGCTCACAGTCTTAAAACCTCTTTAATATGCATTTTTAATGACAGGTTTATCATTGTAGGTATTAGTATCACCTTCCATTTATATTTATAGGTCCTGTTTCTAATATATTTTATGTGTTAAGTATCTTAAGTAGTCCCTAAAGCAGAAGATATGAGTGTAAATCAAATTACATGTTCAAAGCTTTAACTTAAGTGCTTTACTTGAGCATTTAGGTAGCTTGAAACAACCAAACATTTTTCAATGCACTGATTGAGCTTTTGGATTATTTCTTTAAAAATGCATTCTTTTGTATGTTAAACTGTGTGCAATATTAATTTGAACAAATGCACTGCTTTAAAAATTGATATTTATTTAGATTTAGATTTTTTTTTAAATCCTGCCTTTATTATTTTTATGAACAATTCAAGGTGCGGTGAGCGTACCTAATACTTCCTCCTCCTCCCATTTTGCCTACAACAATCATCCTGTGCGGTGAGTTGGGTTGAGAGAGAATAACTGACCCAAAATCACCCAGCCAGCCTTTCATACCTAAAGCGGGACTGAGATTAAATGTCACCTGGTGATTAGCCCAAAGTCAACCAGTCAGCTTTTATACCTAAGGCGGGATTAGAACTCAAAAGTTTCCTAGTTTCTAGCCTGGTGGCTTAACCACTAGGCCAGACTAGCTCTCAATATATATTCCCTATATCTCTCAAAATGTTGCATGAATTTGGAAGAAATTTGAAGGTTAAGGATGACATGAAATACCTGAGCTGATGTGTAAGAGTTTATGCCATTTATAGCACTAAAGCAGAGGTCTCCAAACTTGGCAAATTTAAGATTTGTGGACTTCAACTCCCAGAATTCTCCAGCCAGCACAGGATTGCTGGCTGGAGAATTCCGAGAGTTGAAGTCCACAAGTCTTAAAGTTGCCAAATTTGGGGACCCTGGACTAAAGCATCGCTTAAATAAATATGTAAATAACTTTCTCTTTTTGCTGTTGGTGTCCTAGGAACCTTCACTGTACAGTTTTATGATGGAGTGATTCGGTGTCTCAAAAGAATACATATCAAATCCATGCCAGAGGATGCCAAAGGGCAGGTAAGTAGAGTTCCAGTTAGTTTCCATGTTAGATATCATACCTTAATTCCTCATTCATTTAATTCATCTGCATTCCAATTTGTGTTACGAGGTTCACATCCACAGACTCCATTAAGACTGAGGGATCAATCAGATACACTTCAATAAGTATACTTTCTCCTTTCTCCACTGCTTTCCCCTTTTGTTTGTTTCCCTGAAGAGAAAAAGAAAGAAAATTCAAAACCAAAGTGCTATGCTAATGGAATAGCAGATGGAGGAGGGAGATTCATTATTCAATCTCTTTGGCCTTTTCTGTGCCTTCCATGTTAGATCTAGGCTCTTAAATTTTAATTATTGCTAAAAGACTCTCTGTATAAGCTAGGCGTGGTGAAGTTTTGTCATTATTTAAAGGAAATGACTGTTGGGCAGCTCTGAATTATAACTCTGCAGACAGACCACTCTTTTAATGCAGTTTTAGTCCAGGAGTCAGCTTTTTGGTGTCTGGGATGGGCGCAGGAGGTCTGCATTCACAGCTTATTTAAGACAGTTGTGGTTTGATACTGCTGAGTCATGTTTGTGGGCTTGGCAAAGTATTTATTGAATGTCTTCGCTTTCCAGCTGGATATTAGGCAAAAAAAAAAAAATACTGAGAGAGTACTTTTACAATGGAAAATATTATTAGGGGAGCTCCTTAATAGTCAAGGTTTTCAAGTTTATGTTGGACATCTACCTGGCACTGATGCTTTACTTCAGGTTTCTGCACATGTAGCGACTCCTTCCAGTTCTGTGGTTTTGGAAATTATTTTGAGTCTTTTTTGGCCTTACAGTATACTTTGGGATGTTTGATTTCAGGTTGACAGGAAAGTATGCAGCTGTTTTTCAGCAATTATGGTTTGGGAAGAGGCCTTTGAGGCCCCAGAAAAGGAGTTTCAGAGTTACATGTGACTCTGTAGGAGACAAGTAGGCAGAGCTAAGGATGGAGTTAAACATGTCATCAGCTTAGAGTCCTTAAGTTGCCACAAATGATCCAAGTTGAGCCCTCCCTTGAATTCTTTTGACTCATTGAATTTTGTACTGTTTATTATTTTTACAGAAAAAGGCAGTGAACATACCCAACACACTTTTCTCCTAGTTTCCCCACAACAACAACCCTGTCAGTTGAGTTGGGTTGAGAGAGAGTGAGTGGCCAAAGATCACCCAGCCAGCTTTCATGGCTAAAGTAGAACTCGCAGTTTCCTTCTTTCCTAGATTTAACTTTTGGCCAAACTGGCTCTCTAGTTGACCAGATTCTTGGGTATGAATCTTCCATGTTGCAATCTAATGGATGGTCCTGATTCTTTGTGCCTAACAGGCCCAGATTCTCAGGCTGTTCCCATTGAATGAAAAGATTGTTTAAAGTCAGGCTAAGGAAGAGCTGCCCTTAGAAGCTCTCTTGCCGGTCCAGTAATCCAGTAAGCCACATGATAACAATACTGTAGCATGTAGACTTACATACCATTTCACAGAGCTTTACAACTCTCTCTAAGTAGTTTACAGTCTCAGCATATTGCCGCTAATAATCTGGGCCCTCATTTTACCGACTTCAAAAGGATGGAAGGCTGAGTCCAACTTGAGCTGGTGAGGATCAAACTCCTGGCAGTTAGTTCAGTTAGCAGTAGCAACAGCACTTAGACTTATATACTGCTTCATAGTGCTCTACAGCCCTCTCTAAGTAGTTTACAGAGCCTGCCAATTGCCCCCAGCAATCTGGGTCCTCATTTTACCAACCTCGGAAGGACGGAATGCTGAGTCAACCTTGAGCCAATGAGATTCGAACTGCTGGCAGTCGGTAGAGTCAGCCTGCAGTACTGCTCTCTTAAATCACTGCACCATCATGACTCTTATGAATAGTCTGATGCTCTCCAGTGGAGCACTTGGGGGGAAAGGAACCTGTTATTCTAAGCTATGGATATTTAAATAGCAAAATTTAAATTATTTACTTATTGGCTCACTCAGTAAGATGCTGGGCCTGCGCACCGCTGAGGTTGGCACTTGATGGCTTGATTCCTGTGAGCTAATAAAGCCTGTAGGGACAAGAAAGGAGTCTCCTCTGATTGCCTACTGGCATTCAGGGGTCCCGTGGGTCAAGATACCACTGCCTGAAAAAAATTCCTAGAGGTAGCCAGCCACCTCGGTGATCCCTGACTAGCATGTGCCATATGCTAAATAAATAAATCCTTATGGCAATTTTTATCCTTTGTTTAATGGTCATTATGCAAACGATGCACACTACCATAGATATCATCACATTAAGAACACTTTTACTGCTTTGTCCAGCCGATTTCGGATGCACTGGTTTCTCCAGTGTTCCCTAAGATGTTCAGATGTGAATTTCCATCTGATGTCCATTACATTAAGTCCATGAAAAGAAGGACTAGGGGAGACATGATAGCAATGCTCCAATATCTCGGGGATTGTCACAAAGAAGAGGCAGTCAAGCTGTTCGCCAAAGGACAAGAAGCAACGGGTGGAATCTCATCAGGGAGAGAAACAACCTGGAAATAAGGAGAAATTTCCTGACATTTAGAAGAATTAGTGGAACAACTTGTCTCCAGAAGTTGTAAATGACACCATCAGAGAAATACACGTCAGCCACCCATCACTGGAAGTTTTAAAAAAGACATTGGATGACCATTTGTCTGAAGTGGTGTAGGGTTTCCTGCCTAGGCAGGGGGTTGGACTAGAAGACCTCCCAAGATCCCTTCCAACTCTGTTATTCTAAATCTAGGTTTTGCAGTACTCTCATGTTCAGATTTTGAGACTCCGTTCTAAATGGACTCAAAAAACGAATAATATCCAGTGTGCGCTCATTAGGGTTTGTGCTGAGCTTCAATGTGGCTTACGTGGTTTTTGCTGAACATGATTTGTGAATCTAGGTGACAAGCAGGAAAACAAACCAGAGTTTAACGCAATATGCAATCTAGCCCATTGTAGAAACTTGGCTTCCAAGGTAGACTTTTCACTTGTTAAATTGGACAAGGTGTACTACAAGGCAGTCCAACTTATGACCACAATTGAGCCCAACATTTCTGTTGGCTAAGCGAAATATTTGTTAAGTGAATTTGCTCCATTTTACGCCCTTTCTTGCCACAGTTGTGAAGCGAATCACTGCAGTTAAATTAGTCAAATTGTTGTTACATGAATCTGGCCTCCCCATTGACTTTGCTTGCCAGCAAGTCCAAAAGGAGAATCACATGACCCCGGCAATCATCAAAAATTTGAGTCAATTGGCAAGCGCCTGGATTTGATCACATGACCATGGGGAAGCTGCAGCGGTCGTAAGTGTGAACATTCCTTGTAAGTCGCTTTCTTCAGTGCCCTTGTCACTTTCAGCAGTCACTGAACAAACTGTTATAAGTCAAGGACTGCCTGCAGTGTAGCTGAGCTGATGTTAGCAAATAGTAGTGGCTTATTTTCCAGTACAAGAGGATGGGAAGGCTTAAGGTTTTAATGCAGGTAGTTCTTACCACTGATCGCTTAGCAACCTGTTGAAGTTATGATGGTCCTCCCTGGGGTGACCGCTTCTCCTGCAATCACATGACTTCATGACAGGCATTTGGCGAATATCATGACAGTTTTGCTGAAAAAACAGCATCTACGTTTGTTTTCCAGCAAAACTGATTCATGGCAAACTATTGGTTAACCACTCCTGTGTTCACTTTAGAACCGCTATAAAAAAGGCCATAAAATTGGGTCAGCCGCGTGGGCGACCCACTTTGCTACCATCACAGCTTGACAACCAAGGTGGCCAAGCTTCATTAAAGTCGTAAGCTGAGGTTAACACTTTTAAATGGAAACCTTGCTCTTGTTAATTTACTTGGTGTGTGATGCTAAGTAACTGAAGTACCCATACATTTTCTTGGAAAAGTTTCTGAGAAACTTTTTTTGTAGGTTACTATAAGCTCCTGATTTTGCAAATATATTCATGTCTCCTATAAAAAAACAAAGATAAATGTCATCCTGCTATATGCATGTAGCAGAGAAGAAATTACCAGGAGTCTTTCAGATTTGGTAGGTTTTAGCACGTGCTTTTTAAAGGAAAACACCTGGAGGCTTTGTAATTTCAGCTGTATTTCTTTGCAGAGTTTACTGCATTCTTAAGATTTATGGCATGGTGTCATATGAGTGCTGCAATGAACTCTGATTTCCACAAGATTATTTTAAACTCTGCAGGAGATAAGGTATAGCTATTTACCCTGAAAATATTAGTAAGGTTGGGTAGGGTAAAGTAGAATAGGAAAAGGAATATTCTTTATTAGCTTGTTGGACACACAAGGGATTTGTCTGTGGCGCATAATTATTAGAAGTTTTCTTTGTTCTTACAATATTCTCACAATATCATTCAGATGCTCCTGTTTGAGAAGCCACCTCCAAATCTTAAAATTTATTTTTTTAGCAACAGCACTTAGTCTTATATACTGCTTCACGGTGCTTTAAGCGATTTACAGAGTCAGCATCTTGCCCCCAGCAATCTGGGTCCTCATTTTACTGACCTCGGAAGGATAGAAAACCGAGTCAAGCTTGAACCTGGTGAGATTCAAACTACCGAACAGCCGGTAATGGGCAGTCAGCAGAAGTAGCCTGCAGTACTGCATTCTAACCACTGAGCCGCCATGGTTCCTTTTTTTTTTTTTTTTAAGCAAGATATTAGAATTTTCAGAATATTGTAAGGTTTATTTAGATTCTTTGGATGAATTCCTGGGATACAAGTCACAAACTGAAGAGTTCTATCAGTGCACGGTTCCTTCTTAAGTCTATGCCCAGCAGGTGATAATAATTGCTAAGGGATCAGCTTGTCTTGGATTCACAGGAACAAGCTCTAAGGAAGACTAAAGTGGTGGTCACCAATTTCGGTTCCAAAAGAACCAAGGCTGCCTGCTAAGGAAAGATGTAGAAGGAATGAACCTTTAGGGGCTGCTGCCACTGGCGCAGCATTGACTAGGCCGGGCCAGAGAAGAAGCGTCCCAGGCTTATGACTTCATTGCTGAAACCTTGCTGAGGACTTCTAAAAATCTGTTGCTGGTGTGGAGTTGACAGGAGAGTATTTGGTGGACTTCACTGATACTCTGTCCAGGTGGAAATACAGTAGCCCTCAACTTCCAACCACAGTTGAGCCAAACATTTCTATTGCAAAAAGTGCCTGTGGAGATTTTCAGTCATCCAGGTCATGGTTGTCTCAAAGGTGCTTTTTCAAGAGGCAACTGGACTGTCTTGTGGGGGCAAATCACAAGAAGAGCTCTAAAATAATGGAATATTTAATCTTTTTAAAAGAAAAATTATAGAAATAAGATTACAAAGTTGGTCTTCTAGCAACTGTTATGTTATGCTGTAAAGAATTTAGCCTGCCCTTTGAAAATAATGTTTAGTGAGAGTGATCAGAAGAAATGCAATTTTCTGCCACTTAGATGGAATATGCTAATTAACTATCAAATATACTTTTTATACTTTTACCACTATGAGATACAATTGTACCCTGCCCAATATGGTGAGTGGTATAGGAACGTATTTTTGAAATAAACTTAGTGTACACGTGTGCCTGTGCACATGGGATTGTTTAGTCTTTACAACGCATGCTTATTTAATGCAGGGCTTTTTTTAAAAAAAGTATAGATATTCTTATTTGAGCTCCTGAGATATCAAGCACTTTAGTGTTCTGTAATGAATGCAGATTACGCACAAATCAGCATAAAGAATAAGATGCTAACACCTCCTTTATCTTAGATATTATAGCAGGTTCCATAATTTGTAGTGACGAACAGTTGTTTTATATATGTGTCTGCTTTCTAGCCTTGAGGTAGCCTTTCTTTATTAAACTTGGCTGACTTTAAATCTTGACTGTTAAGCAGAAACAAGGCAATAGATCGGTACCAATGTGATCTTGGCCGCAGTTTTGCAGATCTCCGGTGGTTGTTCCCTAAAATGATCGCGTTTGGGAGGGCAAGAAATTGCGGAAGGCTGGTGAATGGAGTCATCCAACTGAGAGGCATGTCGTGATAACTTGTCTTTTTGTTTCCATGTTTGTGTTTTATCTTCGATATGATTAGGCGCGCGAGAGGCAACAGATAGCACCGGAGCTGAGATTAGTGACGGATAACGAGCCACGTGAAGTGAGTTTTGTGGGATTGTGGAAGGAGAGGGGAGGGTTCTTGGCACACAGGAAGCAGAAGCTGAGGAGAGGAAAAAACCACGAAAACCTGATGTGGCCAAGACCAGCAGAAGAGGTGTGACAATAGGTGGAAGAGCTCTGAGAGAGAGGGGCAGAACTGTGGTAGAGCCTTGGCAGGTGAGAGCACCAGTCCATCGGAGTGAATAATGCTTCGGGTGGACTGTCTGTAGAGTTGGACAAAGGTTCTCATCTGAAAATGAGCAGTATATACAGGTAGTCCTTTACTTACAACCACCATTGAACCCAAAATTTGCTGTTGCTTAGCAATACAGTGGTGAAGTGGGTTTCGCTCCATTTTTACAACATTTCTTGCCACACTTGTTAAGTGAATCACCGCAGTCGTTAAGTTAGTAACACAGTTTGCTAAGTGAATCTGGCTTCCCCACTGACTTTCCTTGTCAGAAGGTCACATAAATTGGTCACATGACCCCCTGGGACATGGCAACCATCATAAACATGAATCAGTTGCCAAAACCTCTGAATTTTGATCACACGCTGCGGTAGTCACAACTGTGAAAAAAAAAAAGGCCATAAGTCCCTTTTTTCAGTGCTGTTGTAACTTCGAACAGCCACTAAACAGGCAGTTGTAAGTTGAGAAGTACCTGTAGTTGCTGCTAAAGAAGTCATTGGTGCAGCTAGAGGTGGTGGAATGATATTTTTGTTTCGTTTACTCATGTTTAAAGCTGTAAAATTATGAGGTCTGGCTCTAATAAATTCTATCCAGTGAAAACAAAAGTTGCAGATCTGTTGTATGTTGCTCATACAGTTCTGAGATAACTGTTTGGATTGTTTGAAGTCTGAGACAGCAGTTCTCCAAAGTGAAAAATAACTTAGAATATTTAACATTAACAATAGAGAATTAACCTATAATACATGTAGTTTGTTGGATGCAAATCTCCAGTTTTATATACGCATAGAAGATGCTGTCCTACTGATACAATTAAAATAGATGGGATAATAGTGATGAAATTCAGTAGACCAATCATCCAAGTTTGATAAATATTTCTTCTAGGAAGGCACAACTTTGCATATTAATTTAGAAGAAATTAAAAAGTTTCCTTCTTTCTGAACCTTTGTGTAAGATTGATTTTACCACAGAAGATAAAATGCATTTTCTTCATTCATTCATGCATACAGATTTGCACTCAGACTCTGAGTGCAAATATAGGCCTGCAGTCATATCTTTACCCATGTGTGGGCTTTAACGTGATAGGACTGTATAGTTGGAAATTTTCAATTAAGCCAGTGAGTCCAATTACTTGCTCAGCATGGGAACTCTGAATAAAGCATCCATGACAGATGTCTCCCCTGCCTGAATTTGAAAACATCCAATGAAAGAAAAGTCATTCCCCTCTTTATAACTGATTCTGCTATTAAGTCATCTCCCTCCTGGTAATTGATGCCACTGTCACATTACAGAAAGTTTTCCTAACATCCAAGTAGAACCTAATTTCATTTTGTCCAATACCATAGTTCTGTGCCCTATATTCTGGAATGATAGAGAACAGGTTTTGATCTTCTGTTCCCTTGTCTGGTTCTGCTGCCATATTTGCTTCTGTCATCTTTGATCGAGTCTGATAATGCTTCATTTTCTGAGTCTTTCCTTGTAAGCTTTCAGCCCTGGCATCATTCTTCTTGTTTCCCTAAATCCCTTTTGTTAAATGTCCAGAATCAGACCAAATATTTGAATATGGTGGTGATTGCGTAACATGATTTGGAAACGGTGATATATTACTGCAGCCTAGCTTTGCTTTTGAATTTTTGGCAGCCAGATGATAGGGACTCCTATTCATCTAGTGATTAATTACATTTTCATTAATTACATTTTCAAAATGTAAGCCTGGCGTCTTCCACCTTCTAATTGTTCATTTGATTCATTTTCCTCCCTCTATGTAGAGTTCTTCCTTTGTCCTTTATTACATTTCATTACATTCCAACCCCTTTTTCTAGCCCATCAAGATCATCGTAAAGTTCGTTTTTGCCTTCTTAGTGGTCCCACTCAATTTCATGTCATCTGCAAATGTGGCGTTTCTCTTCATTTACCATTTCATCCCATTCTAATGGATTGTTCCAAGAGTCCTGCTTTTTAAGTGCTTTGTAAAATATGCATTCTTAAGAAAACCTGGCCAAACATTCATCTGACAAATCCACAATGTTGATCTCTGCCTATTTCCGTGGTCCCTAAGTATTATTGTTCATTTTGTGACTTGTTCTAGAATGTACCAATATATGTCAGAGTAACAGCTATGTGTTGTACGTACATCTGTGCAGAAGTTATCCATGTAGCATTTCAGAGTCAACATCCTAAAAGATACATTAGAAATCACAGGTAAAAAACATAGCTTGTCTGCATCACCTTAAGGTGTATCTTTGTCAGAATGGTGACCCAATTCAATTTATTGCAGTCATAGACCAGAGACCAGAACAAATAAAAACACTCAGTAAATGTACAATTAAAAATTCTAGTATAAAATAATAAACAGCTAACATCTATGATAAAATCCAGTCTGGCAATTATACATGGTCTAACCATACTAAAATTACAACCCATAAACTCTGTGGCCCATAGTCAGTTTAATACTAAAAGGGAAAGAAATAAGCAGTGCAAAGGGTTTGCCCCATTTGTATAAAACAGCTATGGTGGATTAGACACACATTTCCGATGAATCCCCACTACTGCTGCGCAGAATCTAGCCACCTGCACTGCAGTTAGGGACTGTTCGTCCTTAAGCAGCTATTGGTGTAGAAACAGCACAATCTGAGACACAGCCTAGCCTGGTGCATATTAGAGTAGTTCTGACTTGATTTTTAATTACAATAGATACTCTCATATTTCTGTAGCTATTGTAAAGCAGTTAAGACAATTTAAAGTCTTCGGGTATAAAAGTTTACAAAATGGAGAACAGCTAACTTCATGTTCTAGACATTTTCTTTCAAAAGGCATCCAAAGAATCTGCGATAAATTAGTAATGGATATACTAGTGCTGTATGGACGACACAGTTGCCTTAGTAGGGTTTTATTTTTTCCTGGCATGAAGATTAACCTTGGCAAGCAAAATATTTGTTAATATTTGGAATCAAAGAGTTGGCACAATTTCAAAGAATGGGAAAGATTTCTGCCCAATGCAGTACAGGAATAGATAATTTTATTTATTTATTCAACCTAGATGCTGCACATAGATAGTCAAATCTGACATGGAGGTTTCTCAGACAGTTTTATACAGTACCTTCTAGGCACCTGATGCTATTTCTAACATTTTCTAGAAGTCAATTTGCCAAATCTAGAGAGGTCAGCAAGAGCTGCTTAGTCTAGAACATAACAATTTAGTGTAGCCCAAATGAGATACAGAACATTGTAGACTTTTTAACAACATTTCATTCCTAGAATGGAAGCTTGGGCACCCAGGATTAACTAACCTGTCATCAAAATCCTTGTTTCTTTTTTTAAATTTACAAGAAACAGTAGAAATAGATATTCTTCAGCATGAACAATTTCCCCTTTAGGATACCTTTCTTGTTAACAGTTTTCTTCAAAGCTGGATTTTAATTTGAGGCGATTGTTTTCTTTTGTTTTCTCCCCTTTTCAAAGGATTGGATAGCTTTGGTCAAAGCCGCAGCAGTGGCTGCCGCAAAAAACAAAGCAGGGGTTAAGCCACGGACAAGCGCAAACAGTAATAAAGACAAAGAGGAGAGAAAGTGGTTTAAAGTACCTTCAAAGAAGGAAGAGACCTCAACCTCAGCAATTGTCCAGAAAGTCCAGAAGAAAGAAGAGCAGCCCACATCCAGCGAGACATTTGGTATATATAAGTACATTTTATTGTATACGTGGTTTTCCCTTTAAAATATTTATTGATTCATTTGTTTGTTGATTAAATTCACATGCCGCTGTGCTGCCCCACTCACTCACGCACACACGTCAGTGTGGTTTAGAGAGCTTATTAATGTTCCCCAGCAAGTCCCTTCACCCAGCCTCAGAACTGTCCCAAATCAATCCAGCCACGAGCAGGCCAAGGCAATGGCCCAGTGATCCATAAAACAATGGAAAGTTGTTCCAGTGAATAAGTCCACCAAACAAACTTAATCCACCAGGTCAAACTGAAACACACCCTCAAGAGCTCACTTGGCAAGAGAAGTTCAGAATCTCAAAAGTCCAGCAGGAAGCATGTGGAACAAACACACACAGCCAGAAACCAAACACGTTGTTCCAGCCATGCCTCCCTCTGCCTGCTGTGATAAATACCTTTCTGGTGCAGGTCCTCAAGACGGACGGGGCCTTCTCCCGAGGAATCTGTCAGATCTCCATTGCTTTTGTCTTTTCTCTGCCCTGCGTGCTCTCGGAATCCATCATGGAAGGCAACTCCTCCTCTTCACTGATCATTTGCCCCTGTAAATTGTCCCCAGACGAAAACCCCTGTAAATCTCTTTCTGGTGGCTGTGCAGAGTCATTAATTAACCCAGTTCCTGACGTGCCAGGAATTAGCTCATTCTCCCTCTGAGGAAGAATCTGAGGAGTCGTCCAGGCGAGACATCGCAGCTGCCCATCTCACTGTGGAAGCAACTCTGGGCGGCATATAAATTACAGGTGGATCCTTGACTTGCTACCAGAATTGAGCCCCAAATTTCTGTTGCTCAGCGAGGCAGTTAAATGAGTTTTGCCCTATTTTACATCCTTTCTTGCCTCGCTAATTGAATCATTCAGTCGGTAAAAAAATCTGACTTCACCCATTGACTTTGCTTGCCAGAAGCCAGCTGGGAAGGTTTCAAATGGTGATCACATCACACACACACACACACACACACACACACACACACACGGAACTGGGCAACTCTTACCAATATATGCCAGTTGCCAAGCATCCGGATTTGAATCACGTGGCCATGGGGCTGCTGCAATGGTCATAAGGGTGAAAACTGGTCCTAAATCTTTTTTTTTTCAGTGCTGTTGTAACTTGGAATAGTCTAAATGAGTTGTTGCAAGTCAAGGACTACCTGTTTTAATAAATAACACATTGACATTGGTCTGTGATCCTATAATGGCGGTTGCTGATGTACTTGTTGAAGTTGTTTAACAGCAGGTTGCAAGCACAAAAAACATACGTCTTGCCTGATACCACCGCATGTTAATAGGGCTTTTGAGAAATGCCTGGATGAATCTATGTGAAGTTCCAGGCATAATGTGATAAGAAGATTTTATTTTTGTCTTTGTGAAATATTATTACGCTCCCTTTAAAACATAAGAAGGCACAAAGACAGGCATTTGGGTGAGCTTGTCGTATTCATATTTTTATCTCCTACTTGTTCTTAGGACAAAGCAGAGCGGGGAGCATTAATTAAGGGCAAGGATAACAAAGGAAATGTTGCATTTGTGCCAGTAGCTATGTGTTTGAGATACATTATATCAGTGATAGAAACATCCCGCGCACATGCTTGTTAGGGCCACGCTCTGGAAAAGCTGAACTTCCAGGTAGGTTCTAACGTGCATGCGTGCCCGATAATCAACTGGCCAGCACGCATGCGAAGGCCAGTTTTCGGCACTGCTGGGCGCGAGAAGGATGATCGTCACGTGCGCATGTGCACTAGTAACCCAGAAAACCAACAGGCAAGGCTGCACGTGCCAGGTGACATGTCTTCGCGTGCCACAGGTTCGCCCTCACGGCACTTATACTATTGCCATGGCTGCCCTTGTGATTGTTCTAAGGCTTTTGTACAATTCATTTATCAAATTTTTAAAACTGCCCATCTTACCTCATAGAAGGATTCTGGGTGGTATACAATAAAAGAGAAAAATAAAAACAGTATAAATAGTTAACATTTCAAAAAAGGCAATTTTGATTAAAAATTAGTGTTAAGAATTAATTGAAAGGCGAAGTGGGGGGGGGGGGCAACCATCCCCGGGGCTTCCTGTTCCTTTGTGCTCTCTAAGAAAGAGCCATGTTTTCACACCTTTCTGGAAAAGCAGGAAAGTGAGGGTCCCACTCCTCTAGGAAGGGTGAGAATGTTCCACAGGATGGGGGCAACAACAGACAAGGCTCTCTGCCTGCACTCTGCCAGTAGGATGGCAAAGTGCAGTATTAGCTGATAATGCCACGTCTTTCCTTTGTAAATGTTTAAATAACCTATCTTTGCTGGTTATTTCATCCAGAACAAACACGTGTGTAAAATCTAACCAAAATTGTTACTGGTTCAATAAAAAAGCTATTGCATTAATGTAAACATAGCCAGATTCAAGGAAAAATAAATCACCTCTCTTACTCATCCGGAAGAACCAGCTTTTCCTAATCCAGGTTCTTGAAGCTAACTGTGATGATACCAGGAGGGCTAGCTGGGTGCTGGGAGGTATGGGTGTTTCTATATGCAAGTTCTCCAGGTCTTTCTTCCAGTTGCCAACTGCCTTGACAAAAAAAAGGCCATTCTGATCTTAAAATCAGTGATAATTCATATGAAGAAGGATTTGCTTCCCCCCCCTCCACCCCCGCAAGCCTCTGCTTTTTTTTTTAACTGCTACCTGCTTGACCATTATTTTTGTCTCGTGTGACACTGTGTGGGGATTTGGAGAAATACCACAGTCTGAGTACGACGGTGCAGAGTGTGGGAAAACTCAATGGGGCTAAAAGGTATACGGGCAAGGACTGTCACTCCCTCAAGGTAGACCAAGTCAGAAAACAGATTTGACAAGAAAACCTGGAACCTTAATTGATCCAGGTTATAATATCAGAATCTGGAAATCCTTATTCTAAAGAAAGTCAAGGATGGGCAGTCTTGAGTTTCTTTCTTACACTTTCAGGATTTCTCGGGGTAAGCTCACGCTTTATTAAGCATTTCCACATGTTTTCTTCAAGGCCAACTCTCTATTCCTCTAAAGGAGAGAGTCTTCTCTACTTAGACTAGATTAAGGAGTCCTTGGTGGCAGAGTGATTAGAATGCAGTATTGCAGCATACTCTGCCCACAGCCTGGAGTTCGATCTTAGCAGCCTCAAGGTTTATTCAGCCTTCTGTTCTTCTGAGGACGGTAAAATGAGGACCCAGATTGTTGAAGGCAATATCAACTGCTCAGAGAGTGCTGTGAAACACTGTGGAGCAGTATATAAGTCTGAAGTGCTATTGCTAGTAAGGGACTGAACTGGTCCATGTAAAAGACCTGACAGAAGTAACAAAGGACCTTTGGACCTATCTACTATGAAGTGGCTGTGCTGCATACTTGTGTGTCAGAGAGTACATGTTGTGTACCTTAAGAGATCATCTCCCTGCCCAAGCCTCTTATTAAACTACGTACCTTTTCAGAAGACTTAGATGAAGATAGAGGCTCTGCAGAGCCTATGACTGATATGAGTGATTTTGGGGTCCCCAGTGCTTTACTCCTGGGAAATTTGTTCTCGCTGAGGTCATTCTAATAGGTGCAGATCAGGATTTCATGGCTTCCACTGTTTTAGAACGTACCTACGTCATGTCCTCGATTTGGGAGAAGTACAGTTTTTGTATAGGGTTGTACCCACGTTAAAGGAATAAGTTGGCCACTTGGGAGTTCCGTGAGTCCCCATGTTGACATTGAACAGTCACAAAACACCTGGCTCAAGTGGAACTCTCTGTCAGTTTTGGCTGTCAAACCAGGTGCTTCCTTACTAAAAGCCCTGGCTTTTCCATGCGCTGGAAAGTTGGATTGTTGTGGCGCACTGTTCATGTTCTTCAGTCTTCATGCATTCCGAGACAACCATCCAAAAATCTCAGATAGTCTTTGGAAAACCTGAATGAGAATGCTCAGGGGAGAACAACAGACCTCTCTAGAATTTACGGTCCTAGAACAGTATCTTTTGCACAACCCTAATAAAAAATTATCTCCAGAGATTTAATTACGACTTCTAATGTTATCTCATAGTAGTATATGGAGGTAACTACATTGTAAATATTTATCTAGAGGAGCTTTTAAAACAGGGGGCTTATATATGATTTCTTCTTCTTTTATGTAGCATTTCCTCTGGTGGATGTCCCAAAGATTGCCTTTGTACAGGCAGAGAATGCATTAGCACACAAGAGGAAAAACAATCTAGGCAACTCATTTCAAGCAAAGAGGGCTCGTCTTAACAAGATCACTGGTAAGTTGTCATTTGAGATCAGCTACCGTGCTTGTTTAAATGATTGATTGCTCTGATCTGAACAGTTGCAGGACACTAAAAATGCCTAATCTAGTCTTCTCCAAAGCACCTGAAGGCAAGATAAGTAGCAGGGGATGGAAACTGATCAAGGAGAGAAGCAATCTAGAAATAAGGAGACAATTTTTTGACAGAACAATTAATCAGTGGAACAAGTTGCCTCCAGAAGTTGTGGATGCTCCAACTTTGGAAGCTTTTTTTAAAAAAGATTGGACAACCATTTGTCTGGAACGGTATAGGGTTTCCTGCCTATGCAGGAGGGTTGGATTAGAAGGCCTCCCAAGGTCCGTTCCAACTCTGTTACTCTGTTATTCTGCTCTGTTAAATCTCTACTTAAGAAGAAATGCAAACAATGTTAACTATTTGCATTATAAAACCAACTAGAAAGCCAGTTTGGTTCAGTGGTTAAATCTCTGACCTAGAAACCAGGAGAGCATGAGTTCTAGTCTCACCTTAGGCATGAAAAACCAACTGAATGACTCTGAGCCATTCATTCTCAGCCCAACTCGTCTTGACAGATTTGTGGCTGTGGTTGTTATTCTAACTTACATGGTTGCCCACCTGTCCTAGAAACGCTCAGCAGCCAACAGCGTAAAAACATGGCATTCCATTCAACCAGAATTCAAAACCATCGTAAGTACATGCCCGTTGCCAAGCGCCTGACTTTTGATCACGTGACTAGGGGGATGCTGCAACAACCATAAGTGTGAAAAAAGCTCATAAGTCACTCCTCCCCCCCCCCCCCGAGGTGTAGTCATTTTGAACAGTCACTCAACAAATGGTTGTAAAGTGGGGAACCGCCTGTACTGAGAATAAGCCCTGGGATCTACCCCGTAGGATCCTCCTTGACCAAATGCCATGGTGGTTATTTCCAAAAAGAGTCCTATTTTTGTGCTGTTTTTTTTTCCCCTTGTACAGGATTGTTGGCATCCAAAGCTGTCTGGGCTGATGGTGCTGAAAAGAAAGAAGACCGCAAAGAAGCAGCTCCAGTCTTGGAGCAGGTATGAAATTGTAGAGTTGATTCTTTTCCGAGGGCCATTCTGGAACATACTATGGGAAATAACCAGATCTGTGATGTGAATATTGTCTTGCTAGGCAGAATCCGAGAGGCCACTAAAGAACGATGTGTATGTGTGTATATATATCTATCTATAGATATATATACACACCTCTGCGTAAATGAAGGTCATGAAAGTAAATCTGTCGCTCTTAAGAATGCCTAACCCAGAAGCCAGTTCGAGATTCTATCTGGACTGGACTTCTGCTGTTTGCCTTTTAGGTCAGAGAGTTGGATGTCTTAATTTATGGTTACCTTTCTTTTTGTCGTCTATGGCAGGGGTGTCAAACTCACGGCGTCACAGCAGCGCCACATGTCGTATCGGGACTGTCTCCCCCCCCCCCCC